CAAATCTTAGACACACCATATTTTTCAGCTTGCTGTATTTCATGTTGACAGATAACACATATAAAAGGTAAGGTAAAGGCCTGTGATAGGAATTGAATAGCTGGGATTCACTAGAACAGCATAGATATTTATCAAGATGGATGTCTCTATGACAAAAATTTTAGAAGATCACCTCAACTAGGTTTCAGTGGGAACACCAAGCAGAAGAACAAATCTTACTCTGAAGTCATGTTGACATAATTGACTTGTAGTGCTGTGCAAAACTGAATACAGGCTAAGGCCAAATATGTCAAAGGCATTAAAGAGTTGAAGAAATGGTGCATGTCAAAAAGCAATGAAAAAATAAAGTTAGAAAGAAATAGTGTTTATAAGTGTCATATTGGGAGCTGAAAAGAGGGAAAAAAACAAGATAACAAACATGATAGTTCCCTTTTAAGAAGTACCAAATCTTGTGGTAAAAATAGATGGTTCTTGGAATGCAATCTGTAATTATTACTAACAGCCTTCTGCAAAGACTCACAATAAGCCTTTTTGGAGTCTTCTAACATATGTTCATAATACGCACAGCAATTCTGAATTTGTCTAGATAATAATTAATTACTCTGACTCAATTTCTAAATAATCCATCAGGGAAGATTGTTCAAAAAGGTACAGAATGCTTCTCTTTACAATACATCTTGACTGTAGCAGCCTAGTCTCTTAGCACAATATCTTGGAAAAAAAACAACCAAAACAACAACAACAAAGAGGCAAAGGACATGACAGTTCCCACATTAAAACAGCATAAACATCAACATTTTCAAAGAAGCAGGAGTAGGTAATTGTAAGATGTAGTGTAACATTGTTAGAACAGGATCCTTCAGAGGCTCCCTTTGCTGACCTCCCTGACTGTATAAGGCATTATCCACTCCTTGAAAGCAAGTCAGCTGCATAAAAGACTATCAAGCTCTGTAAACCTACTTTTTTTTTTTTTTCCTGAGTTTATAATAATACAAAGAAATCTACATAAGCCTCAGTTCTTATTCTGAATGTTCTGAAAAGCTATGTCCCTTTCTGGTTAGGATTAGTGGATCGAAACTCTTAAAACAAACTGTAACATTCTGATAACAAATCAGAGGTGCAGACAATGTTTTATAGTGCAATAATATCTATCTCGCTGTAGAAAATAGAGATCAGATTAAATGTTGTAATAATTGCCTTTTGACTATGTCAAAAGACAGCTAGAAAATAATGAACATTCGCACCCAAAAAAAAAAATGAATGTAAGGTTAAAAAAACTGACCCAGAACTCAGCATCTCTAGACCTATTTAATGCTTTTGAATAGAATTCCTGTGTCACCTTGATCAGACGATGTGTATCTTTTGCTGTTTCATTTCTCTTTATCAGTTTTGGGCAGAAACTCTTCCTGGTGTGTGTTTGAAATTTAGAAAACTGATTAGAAACTTTGTTTACATAACTAATGGAAATCAACAAGATTTTTTGAGGAAAGAAATGAGCTTGGAATATGCTTACACAAACAAGAGTACATGAGCCCAAGTTTTTCTGCATTTCAGACAACTGGGTAACTGCATCGGCACAGCATGACGTCCAGTCTAGTCTGACTACCTGGCTTGCATCCAACCAATTCAGAGCAAGGAGCCTAGATGTATTTTTAGCCACCCACATAGTTCTCAAAATCTCCATATGCACTGCTATTACACAGGGACTCTGCTATAATTTTGGATTTCTAGGCACTTCTAGCAAAAATTACCCACACATACAAATATAAATAGATATCCTTTGCTCTAGCTCAGCTACATCAGAAAGTTTTGCAAATATTTTCCACAGTTATGGGTTTTATAATTATTATATTTTTCTCAATGAAACCAAGGTCTGTGGACTGTGATGAATCAATATAAAATCAAATAATCTTGCTGGATCATGCGACAATAACCTGAATCTTCAGTGCATGAACAGAAGCAACAGAGGAAGTCCAGGAAAATTACACTAGGGTTGAGCAGGTGTAATAAAAGTTATTTCTTGAATAAGCAAACTTGTGCTTATTTCCTTTAAGCTTCCTTCTGGAAGTTTACTTGTCAAACACCAGCCTTTGGAACACCACACAGGAATGATGGAATGACTTGGAGTTTTTTCTAAAAGTATGGTACTTTCCCAGTGCTACCATCACAGATACTTGGAAGTTTCTGAAACCTGCAAGGCATTTAAGATACTGTGTAATGAACTGACATTTCTGCAATGACTTCATCTTGCAGTCATTGTAGCTTTGATCATTGTCACTAGCATTCTCAGCAGTGAGCTTATCAATTAAAAATGTCCAGATTTTCATAGGCTAAACTTATATAACCATGTTCTAAAATCCTGGTCTTCCTTCTAACTGATGCTTGCAAAAGGAATCATAGAACAGTTTGAGTTGGAAGGGACCTTAAAAGTCACCTACACTGTAAAATGTTGTCTGTTACATAAAGGTAAAAATATAGAACTATTAGCAAAACCCCCCAAACAAAAATTATAGCAAAATCACTATTCATAGGGCATTGAAGAGGGAACATGAACAGATTAATCACAAAGTTCAAATTTTAGTATAAACATGATTAGTGTAAATATAAAATTTAATTAACTTGGGTTGAAAAAACCCTTAATACTCAAAAAACCCCATGAACTTTAAGAAATGCCAGGATATGTAACAAAAGAGGGGGGGGGGGGAAATTACAAAAAGGAAGCAAAGATACTGAGCTTACTAATGCTGCAGCACTTGAGTTTACATTTTATAGAAACCCTATTAACTAAAATCACAGGGCACTACAGGCAGTAGGGTTCTAGTATCAAAGCCTGAATTCTCTATTAGAGAAGAGCACCTTGACCTTGTCCCACATTCATAATTTCTGCCACACAGCTGGACACACTCTTAATGCACCCCAGGATACCATTGTCCTTCTTGGCCACAAGGGCATATTGCTGTCCCATGGGTAACTTGTCCACCAGGACTCAAAAGTCCTTCTCCACAGACCTGCTTCCCAGCAGGTCTGCTCCTAATCCATACTAGTGCATGTTGTTCCTTCCCAGGTGCAGAACGCTACACATATTCTTGTTGAACCTCATTAGGTTCCTCTTTGCACAGCTCTCCACTGTCCAAATCCTGATGAATGACCACACAGCCTTCCTGAAAATCAGCCAATCCTCCCAGTGTCGTATCATCAGCAAACCTGCTGTTCTCCCATCCAGGTCATTGATGAAGATTCTCTCTCCATCTCTGACCAACAGAGCCTAGGTTCCACAAAGAGCCAACACTACTTCGCGGTTGTGAAGTTGGACTTATTTTTTCAAAAGCATAACTAGACAATTGAAGAAACTAGATAATTCAAGACCTATAAAAAACACCACAAGTGTGTGCATGAACAGACCTTAAACTGCACTTGCTTATGGGACATCACTGGTTGTCTCCGAGAATCAGCACAAGTGGTTCAAAGAAAGATGACCCAGCAGTGTTCGCAACTGTTTGTATCGCTCAGCAACCACATCTGTAGTTGTAAATTACTTGCTCTGAAGTCTACAGGAGCTGTTCTGTGGGTCGCGGTGCCACCTAGGGGAACGCTGAAAAACACTAGGAAACACAGGTACTGAGAAGACAGTACCATTAAATAAACAATGCTCTTAAAAGTTTAGTCCAGCTCATTTAACTATAAGAAATGAAGAATGCATATTAAACTTTGAAGAGAAAAACAATCTCTTTTTTAACAGCTTAGCTGTTATGTTGAGGTCTATTTTTGTGATAGGATACAAGATATTGTATAGAGTTTGTTTACAATGAAGGGGATAAAAGCCTTCAATTAAAAACTACTTTGATAATTAAATCATGTTCAGATTTTGCACAAAAATCTATCTCTATTTTAATTTCTTCTTGCTGATGTATTATAAGTGAGGTTAATTTGACATCTTGATTAATGATTAAAATATATTATGGAGTACTCCAGTGTACATTTAGATTAACACTGTCAAAATAACTGATTGTATATTGCTTTATCTTTGCAGACATGCCTAGGAAAAGGTAACACTTCATCTAAGTGAACATGCATGATTAAAATACACAGTATCTGCTAATGAGTAGAACAGGAAAACGAAAACCAAGGTATGTGACAATTGAGAAGATTTAAGTCCAATATATATGAAAAATTCCAGAAAACAACAAAATGCAGATAAAATATGAGATAGTGCACTTTAAAATGTGACCTAAAAATTCGATACATGAACAACCAAAGAGATAAACTGGTTATTAGTGCAACGAAACTCACAAAATTCAGTAAACACACGTCCTTACTAGAAAGAGCAAATGAGAAGCTGATTGTTTCTAAATCTCATGTAGAATGCTAAAACCAGTTTTAACCATCACACAACAAGCAATTCAGTTCTAGATTTGGCTTTCATACATTTTTCTAATAATCGGGAGCACAAACAGAAACATCAAGTCTAAACCCACATCTGTTTTACAAGTCTCCATTTTATCTTAAATATTTTTAGATGGTAAAAATAGAACAACGAGCTGTATCAGCTGGAAGCGACATCTCTTCTAAATTCTTTAACATCCTTCCCAGTAATATAACAACCCATTTATTGGTGCCTTCTTTAACAGCCTATATTGACACCAATATTCCAAAACACAACAAACCAAACCAAATCCACCCAAACAAACCAAAAACAACCCCACACCCCAAACAAACCCACAACACAACTCCCACCAAAAAAAACCAACCTAGCCAACAAATCCAAGAAACAGAAATGGATTGACCTTTGTTATGGAGACACTGCCCTCAGGGAAGATTAGTGTTTGCTAGTTACTTAGTTGCTAGTTTGAATTCAGAAAGTAAAACAGGGTTGTCCGTTTTTATTAGTATTGTATCAATAGCCAAAAAATTGATGGTTTAGTTCCAAAAGAACACACAGGACCAGTTTGAAAATACATTTGCTTCTGCCCATGATTTTTTTTTTTTCTTGCAGTTCTTGCCAGGAATGTCTTTTGTGATAAATTCAAAATGGTGAAGCAATACATTTTCCCCTCTTTCTTTAAGCGTCTCCTGATGAGACAGAATCAAAAGGTACTTAGCCAAACCCAGGAGAAATTAAGGAATTCCTAAGCATTGTAAGTGCCATATAAGGTAGATCTTACTAAAGAAACAAAGGAAGTAATCAATAATTCAGCTGTGACAGGAAGTGTGAACTTTCCATCTATTAATGAAAGGATCTATGATTAAATTAGCTCCAAATATTATTTCAAAATTCCCAGTAACGCCTTGCATCTGAAAACAGATTAAAAACTGGAATAATTATAAATCTAGATGGCCAGCATCAATCAGATGAAGTAAGGATACCTTCCCCTGTACAGCAGGAGTGCAGATCCATTTAAAAAGTTTTCAGTGTTTTAGAGAGCACAGTCCCAGATCATGGGTCCATTACCATACAAAGGTGTTGATCAGTCTTATCTTTAAAAATGTTTTATGCAGCCACATACTGCATTCAGAGCTGCCTGTGGATTGGACATAATTATCAGCAGGGGAGGGAGAGCTCATTACCACAAACTCTCCTTCCCCTGCCGATTACCTCAGCACGAAGCCACAGATCTCAACCAAAAGAAGATTGTTACAGAGAGCTACACAAGATGTTTCTCAATCAGCTAGCCTGGTGTTCAGCCTCCAGTTATGACCTTCTTTTAACCTTCAGAAAAGCAGAAGGACCAGGATAGTCTAAACATTAGCAACCTTAAATTTTAGAAATAAACCACCAAGCAAGTAACACCCACCAGCAGACCTGGCCTGTCTCATGTTCACATAACTGATGCCCAGTTCAAATACACAAAATATTCAGCAGCAAGATCTGATGTAAAAAGGACAAAGAAGGACACTGCACATTTTGGGAGGGACTGGGGGGCTTAGGGGTGTCTAATACACTGTATAGTATTAAGAATAACCTTTCATTCAAAAAAACCTGCAGAGACAGAAAAAAACAAAACATAGCTGCAGGAAGCAAAGACATTAGCCTATCAGAATCCTTTGGGCCCCACTTACTTATATATGAGCTCCAAGTCATAGCAGTCTTCAAAAAACTTTTTAATCAGAATGTAATATTCTGGAGAAAAATAACAATGTTGGCCTCCTTGTCCCAGAAAGGAAGAAAATCGGGATGGCATCCCTTCCCTCAGGCATGTCAACCACAGCACTCAGCTTGGTGTCATCTACAAACTTGCTGAGAGTGCACTCAATCTTATTGTGTCATTGATGAAGATATTAAATAGGATAATTGTTGATGAACAAACATCTTGCCACCCATCTCCACTGCTGACTACCACCCTCTGGGTGCAACTATCCAACCAATTCCTCATCCACCCAATAGTCTACCCATCAAATCCATATGTTTCAAATTTAGAGAGAAGGATGTTGTGGGGAACCATGTCAAAGGCCCTACAGAAATCCAGATAGATTACCTCCATAATTTATTGAAAACATGCCAGGAAATTTCCTTCTATTCTTTGCCTAGTAATTGTACTTTTTTTCTGTACAAAAGAAAAAACACTTTTTCTTATTTATGAAGCTAATTCTAAAAATCAAGAAAGAAAAGCTTTCTTGTATCACAGCAATGTATTTAAATTTTCAGATGACAATACCTCCATTAATACTGATAAATACAGGATAAAATTTTCCAGTGACATTTTTCCGTGCAGAAACCATAATATGGACAAGAAGTTACGTTCACTAAATCAGAAAAGAATTATCTTATTACTACATACCACTGTACAATTACTACAACATGCCATGACAAAAAGCAGTATGTTTGCAAACAAATATTAAAGGCAAAGGCTCACACTCAGCCTTCTGCTTTCATGTTGAGAATTTAAAAAAACAGCAGTGCATGTACTCATATAAAAATCTGTCATACACACATGATCTAGTATGAAAACATACTGAAACCTGCATAAGAGCAAATTCAGTATGTATGCATTTCATTCCTGAGTAGCACCCTGAAATACAACGACATTTTTACCACCAAGCTATCCCCACTGAGAAACCTCATCAAAATATTTCTCAGACATGGGAAAACTCTGCTCTAAGTAACCCACAGACTACTGATGACTTAGAATCCCAACAGTTTTGACAAGGATAGTAATATCACTGATATGTTACAAACCAGAAACATACTTTATTCATGGGGGTATGTGGGGTATGTGAGGTGTGTGTCAAAAAAAAAAAAAAAAAAAAAAAAAAAGGAAACCACAGATTCACATTTCCAGAGACTTGTTCAGAAAACAGTGTTGCAACAAATCTGGAAATAAAATAATTAAAGAAACTGGAGAAACTGGAGATATGTTTACTAAAACACTTAAGACAGTCATAACTTCTCACAATATATACAAAGAAATATAGAACAGCAAAGTAAAATGTAAATATTTTAGTTCAGCAAATAATTAGAAGTTCTTTATTTGGGTATAAGAATAATATGAAGGTATTTTTACCAGCATGTACATAAACTACAATATCAGAAAGAGAGACAAAGCAAAATGAAGGAAAAGGGAGCAAAATGCAGAGGGTGGGTAGAAGGCCTTTAGATTAAATTGCTGCCAAAAGAATACAGAGTCACAGCATCACACTCCACAGTGACTGATGTTCTAAAATGCAGGAATATGCAATAGGTGTTCATATTTCAATGTATTCCAGCTTCTCCTGAATTTTGATTACTAGTGACCACTCAGTACAAATATTTATATTTTATTTTACAAGTTATTAACAGCTGAAATTTCAGTTTTGACTTCCAATATCCTGGAACATTCTGTACCATATCTTTACCCACATCTGAAATGAACTGTATCTGATCAAGTATCTTGACCTGATTTTGACCCAAGATAGCCCAGCACCTACTGCTGTGTACTGAGTCATGTAAAATCAGCTACTAAGTGATTTTGACAAGGAACACAGCAAGACTTGACTATCTAGATGAGATCAGACCCAGGTCCATATGAATGATGTGCCAGGCATGGTTTAACTCCACAGAAAGCAGTAAGTAACACATTCTGTAATGGAATGATGTAGTCTTTATTTTATCCAAAGTAAAAATAGGGACACCCTAAGGAAAGCTAATTTAGAGGCACTGAAATGAAGTATATTTCACAGAAGTATAGCCCAAATTTATAGAATTTCTTGTTGCTGAGATTATCAGCATGTGAGGTACTGTGCCAAGGTTAGGTACTTTAGGATTGGTGGTAGCACGTGAAAAACACAGCGACCAGAAACCCCAAACAATTATGTGCAACTAAGATGTCAAGCATAAACTGATCACCTACTAAGATCAGAATGAATTTTCTTTCTTATATTCATTGTTGTAAACTTCAGATTATCATCTTATATTCTGAGGAAATCTGCTAAAGACAGTTTACCATACAGAAGGCTGAACACATACACAATATTTGATAATTTCAGGGCATTATTTAGGTGCTGCTATAAATTGCTTTATGTCTTCCAAAGAATACCATATCAGACAAAGTTTCTACACAGTTTTCTGACAGGAGATTTCTGACATAATATTTATTCACTGTCAGTAGTAGCACACAAGTTTTGTACTATTTACATACTATGTAGACCTGTTAGACTTGAGATTTTAAGCATGCTGCATATTTTTGCTTCAATCAAGAAAAAAAATCATGTGATGAAACACATGATACAAACCCTACTATGAGTTACAAGACCATAAAAGAAAGCTAAGATTTATTTACACAACATGAAAAAAAATCTGGCCTATATTTTCCCCAGAAGAAGTAACCCTCACATTAACTGTGATTATGCTGTGGAAAAATACCACAAGAAAGTACCAAAAAAAGCACAAAAGCTCATTACATACTTGCAACTCTAAACAGAGTCAACAGGTTCTTCAACTAACCATGCACAAAATAGCTAAAAGCCAAAGAACATTTAAAATAATAATGCTATAAACACTACAATGACTTTAAATTTATATCATCTTTACTTTCTCTTGTTTTTATGGCATTGTATAAAGGACTGGAATTACTCTACATAGAACATTTTGAACAAGATATTGGAAATATCCAGGGGGGAAAGGATAATGAGAACAGTAGGAATTTCAGCAAATGGTAATAAAAAAAAATAAAAAAATAAAATTGGTCTCAACACTTTAAGTCTATCAGCCATAAAATAATTCAGAATACACAACATTCACTGAACATATATTTGAAGTGTACATCAAAAGCAGCCATCATAAAAGCTACCTGAAGTGCTTATCAGAAAAGAATCATCTAACCATGCTGTCCAGTGCAGTTACAGAATACTAAGGTTATAGACAAAGTTTTACTGACAAATACCTGCTATTAACAAACTCATAGACACAGACAAAAAAAAAATAAAAATCTCTTTAATCTTACCTTTAGCTGTATGAAGTTCCTTTGCTATTCTTAAAAGAATAGCCTGTCTCCCTCTCAGTGGAATTCTGAGAGGGAATTCTCTCTCCACCTCCGAGTTCCACCTCTTTCCACCTTTGAATTCCTGCAGTTGTTAAAATAATGTTGAGATTTCTCATGGTTGAAAAAATGCAGTTCAGCAGAGCACAGAAGAAATTCTGTATCATTAAAACCAGTATTCAAAATCAGGACCTGATGCTGGTGAATGCTCTCTTTCACCTCTCTAAATAACACTAATTTCTCTTTTCCATCTCTCCCAGCATTCCTCCTTCATTCTCTTTGCCTGTCTCTCCTTACTTCTATTACTAACTCATTCCTTTTTAAAAAATGTTCTCTCTCCTCCCTCCTTTTTTTACAATACTGCATGCACAGAAAAGCTCCCCAAATACTTCTCATATTTCTAGCCCTTAACTGATAGATGCAGCTCTTCAGGAAAGATGACTCCTGTGATTTCTGTTTGCATACAAATGGATCTGCTGGTTTTTATCTTCTAGACCTGCAGAAAGTCAGGCAGGATCTCATCTGTTCAACCCACTGCAGCTGTAACCATTTCCACAGCCTCTCGTTATTCAACAGTCGTGTCGGCCTTAATAAACTGATTGTCTGTGTTGGAAATTAACTCAGTGGAAACACATGTTCACCGACATAAGATACACATTGGTTGTCTGATTAAAAATCAACAAATATAGTGGGACCAGCTATCTTAAGCCCCTTCTCCAAATTATAATTTACTGTGAGGTCTCCGGCTTTTACTGTGCTCACTAGGCCTTCACATATTGTTCCCTGTTGCCAGGGTTGGCTACCAAGGATCACAAGACTAGCACAGATAAAACCTTTGCTGTCAAACAGTAACTGTGTTGTTTGAAACATTTGTATTAGAAAGGTAAGACACTGATGTGAAACACACATTTCATATGACAACAGATACAAATGAGATTCTCCTCAAGGAGAAGGGTTGAGTGAAAACACTGGGAAATTCTCTCCAAAAAGAGCTATTGGCCAAAAAAAAAAAAAAAAAAAAAAAGCAGAGTTAATAGACCACTGAGCTTTTGTGTCAAATGTCAGTCACATCTGGAGGTGCAACATCCTCAGTGCACCCCTCCAGCTGTGGACACAGGGGTCCTGCTGCAGCAGGTAAGGTCACTTGGGAGAGCTTCTGGTGCCTTTTTTACTCCCAGGGACCTTTGATCATAGAATCATAGAACTGTTTGGGATGGGAGGGACCTGAAAAACCATCTAGTTCCAACCCCCCTGCATGGGCAGGGACACCTCCCACCAGCCCAGGTTGCTCCAAGCCCCATCCAACCTGCCCTTCAACACTTCCAGGGACGGGGCAGCCACAGCTTCCCTGGGCAACATGTTCCAGTGTCTCACCACGCTCACTGGGAAGAATTTATTTCTGATGTCTACCCTAAATCTACCCTCTTCCAGTTTAAAGCCATGACCCCTACCTGCCTCTATAAGAAGCCCCTCCGCTCTGTGCCCGGCTCCGGGGCCCGGCTCTGGGGCTCCGTGCCCGGCTCTGGGGCTCTGTGCCCGGCTCCGGGGCCCGGCTCTGGGGCTCCGTGCCCGGCTCTGGGGCTCTGTGCCCGGCTCCGGGGCCCGGCTCTGGGGCTCCGTGCCCGGCTCTGGGGCTCTGTGCCCGGCTCCGGGGCCCGGCTCTGGGGCTCCGTGCCCGGCTCTGGGGCTCTGTGCCCGGCTCCGGGGCCCGGCTCTGGGGCTCCGTGCCCGGCTCTGGGGCTCTGTGCCCGGCTCCGGGGCCCGGCTCTGGGGCTCCGTGCCCGGCTCTGGGGCTCTGTGCCCGGCTCCGGGGCCCGGCTCTGGGGCTCCGTGCCCGGCTCTGGGGCTCTGTGCCCGGCTCCGGGGCCCGGCTCTGGGGCTCCGTGCCCGGCTCTGGGGCTCTGTGCCCGGCTCCGGGGCCCGGCTCTGGGGCTCCGTGCCCGGCTCTGGGGCTCTGTGCCCGGCTCCGGGGCCCGGCTCTGGGGCTCCGTGCCCGGCTCTGGGGCTCTGTGCCCGGCTCCGGGGCCCGGCTCTGGGGCTCCGTGCCCGGCTCTGGGGCTCTGTGCCCGGCTCCGGGGCCCGGCTCTGGGGCTCCGTGCCCGGCTCTGGGGCTCTGTGCCCGGCTCCGGGGCCCGGCTCTGGGGCTCCGTGCCCGGCTCTGGGGCTCTGTGCCCGGCTCCGGGGCCCGGCTCTGGGGCTCCGTGCCCGGCTCTGGGGCTCTGTGCCCGGCTCCGGGGCCCGGCTCTGGGGCTCCGTGCCCGGCTCTGGGGCTCTGTGCCCGGCTCCGGGGCCCGGCTCTGGGGCTCCGTGCCCGGCTCTGGGGCTCTGTGCCCGGCTCCGGGGCCCGGCTCCGTGCCCGGCGCAGCAGCCGCACACACGGGGCAGGCCCGTCAGCGTGTCCCCAGCACGGACTCATCTCGGGTTGTTTGGTTTTTTGTAGGAAATAAACGCGTTCTGCGGCCAGGAAAATGATGACGTTCGGTTGCCTTTCCTTCCGACAACCCTATGCGGGATTAGTTTTAAACAAAGTCAAAACGGTGGAGACTCGCTGGACTCCTTTGCTGGCAGGGTACAAGAACTGCACCATTGCTCTCCATATAGCTGTTAAGGACTGGGAAGATGAATCCTGGAGAGCCATCCTTTTGGATAGGCTCGGTATGACACCAACACAAGTGCAAGATTTGTTGGATAAAGGCGAAAAATATGGCAGAGGAGTTATTGCAGGTAAGCAACCCTGGGTTCTGTTTTCCAAACAAGCTTTTAATCAGTTAACTTGCTTCAGTCAAACACACTTTATGCAGTTATGCTCAGTATAACGTTGCTTTAACGCTTCCTTTGGAGGAGTGGTGCCTGAGCTGTGAGGTGGGGGCTGTTTTGGTTCCTTGCCACTGTAAGTTGAGGTCCATGAGGGAAGTAGTAAATAAATATTATTTTTTTCATTGTGTTGGAAATGTGAAGTAACTTTGATCTTTAGGATAAAGAATTTTGGTCGGGCCTCAGTTTTTAAAAAACACTTTACTAAAAACCTTAGGCTACAACTCTGAAGCCTGTAAAATGAAATTGGTTTGTGCTTACTTGTCACACCGTAGGAGAGTGTAACATGGATTGCATATTAGTCAGTTGCATGTCAGTTCCACAGTTTTTGCATGTTGAGCTTAGGAACTGTTGCTGAAACCATTTTACAGTACCTGTAGTGCAGTGAAGTCATGACCTTGCAGAGTTTTGCATGTCATGTTAGACTACTGCATAAATAAATTCAGTTTCAGTTCTACAAATGCTCCATCACTTGTTATTTGGCCAGTGAAGCAGTTTGTGTTTGTAACATGAAATGAGGAGGGTGTGGTGTTTCTTTGCTTATGTTACTCTGAAATACAGGATGTGTTGTTGCACTCTAGACTCCAACGTTTTTATCCAGCACTCATTTTGCACTCTTTTCTTGTAGTCTTTTGTTACACCATCTATCTTGCATTCTCATTTGAATATCTTGATCTGTTCCTGCCCAACAAATAACTTCTACCACATACTGCAAAAAATTGTTCCAGTTCTACAGTGCTGAAAATTGTTGCATACTACAAAATATGCAGATGTGTAACCTTGGCATAAATTGCACACTAAATTGTGGTGCAGGTATCAAAGTTTCTTTGATCTTTAATGTTTTTCATCATTAGGCAATATAGAAAATCCCTTTCATGACATTAAAAGGGTTCCAGAGAGCAGGAATTTCCATATAATGTAATGATTTTTAGAGGCAGCTGTTACATCCTCAAATGCAGGCTTCTTCTACGGGAGTTATGTATCATTGAATTATGAATATTATAAGTGCATGTTTCACCTGTTCTGCACCAACCTCCGTTCAGTCACACAGGCCATCTTCTGCAGGGAATGACACTGGTTTGAGGGCTGCCTGCTTCACTGTGTGCTTCTGGTAACAAGTTAACTGTTTTGTATGTTCTCTGGAAGGTTTACTTTTGGAAAACTGCTATATAGGAGATCAAACAGCCAAATAATTTTTTTATCTTAATTTTATGATACAGGATTAATTGACATTGGAGAGACATCACTATACACAGAAACCTTACCTCCTGAAAAGATTCTGGAGCTGGAAAACAAAGCTGTCCTCAGTAATCTAGAAGAGAAATATTTGACTGTTGTTTCAAATCCAAGATGGCTCCTGGAACCAATTCCCACCAGAGGGAGAAGAGGTGTGTGGCAGGTGAATATCCCTGAAGAACTGATTCCTTTGGAAGTGTAGGTGTTGAACCTCACTAGTATTTTTCCTACCTGAATGCACACTTGTAACTGACAAGTCAGCATCTTGAACACTGGGGGTCATTTAGGATTTTACCTTTCAAAACAAATTGTTTGAAATAGCAAATACATATGAAGAGTTGCTCTTTTGAGTAAAAATAAACAAGATGTAATTTTTATTACCATTATTGGAAATTATTAATGATTTACTAGGTTGTTTTCTATAGAAATAACTCTTTAAGTAAATGCCCTTTTTTAGACAAGGTTGATACATTGTGTGCCAGTTTGAAAGACAAGTAAATACAAGGATATGATACGAGGTACACACCTCTGATTATGCAGCTCTACTCAGGGATGTTGTACAAAATGTTGGCAAAATCTCTGGTCCTGCCCCTCGTATGCAAAAAAAACCTTGTGCTTCCCTATTGAGGAGCTCTTATCAGAAATATGAATCATGTTACCCAGGACAAGGAGATGGAAACTGAGGGCGTCAGACCTGTGACAAGCCCAGCTGCCCCTGCTGCTGCTCTGCCCTCGGCACTTGCTGCGCTGCAGCTGCTGCAGGATTTCCTGTGGGAGGAGGTGATACCAGCATGGGCCTGGGGCTCTGGGGGCCCATGGGGACAGGGAAAGACCCCAGGAAAGGGGGGAGAAAGCAGCACCCAGAGACTGTGTCAGGGTCAATTTATTTATTTCTCTTGAATAAAGAGACAACAGAGCCAGGACGCCCATCGGGGGCAGTCTCCCACCTGGTGGGTTGTTCCTCCAGGTCAATGCCTTCAGGAATGCTGGAGGAGGCCAGGCAGGTGTCAGGTGTCCCCACCTGGAAGCTGATGGGGCTGGGGCTGCTGGGGCTGGCCTGGCTGTCATCCTCCTCCTCGGCAGCCTGGGAACACAGAAGCATCCGGGCCTCCTTGCTACACAAGTGCCAGATAACTTTGATGAGGCCATTCTGCAGCTGCTGGACCAAGGCTTCCTTGTCCATCCCGTGGCAGCACAGCCCGCGTACAGTCGCACCTTCTACTGACATCACCTTCCACCACTCTGCCTCATAGATCACCTGCAGCTTCTGGCACAGCCAGGGCAGCACAGGGTCAATGAGATGCTGGTGTTGCCAGAAAAGTGCCCCCCCAGACCTCAGACAGGAGCCTGCCCACAGGAGCCCTGGCCTCTGTCCCCACAGCCTGAGGACAGATCCCAGCTCAGCTGAGGACAGCATCACCTGCGGAGAGGACACAGGGGACTCTGCAGGGCCATGGGGACTGTGGGCCAGGAGCCCTGCCTGCCCTTCTGGCAACTGATGGCTGCACAGGGAATGTGATGACAGACTCCAGGTAGTCGTCTTCTCTCTGCAAAGAAAACTTGACTATTGCTGCTTGGCAGTAAGCTGGCTGACCATGTGCCTGATGAGAAGCTATTTATTTCCTTGTTTTCCTAGTACATGTAGCTTTTGCAATTAAACTGTCTTTATCTCAACCCATGAATTTCCTCACTTTTGCTTTTCCAATTCTCTCCCTATTCAATGGGGAAGGTGAGCAAGCAGCTGTATGTTGCTTAGTTGCTGGCTAGAGTTAAGACTATGACAAGCTGGTCAGCAGGGAGGAAGAGGGAAGTCTGCAGCATTAAGAGTGAAAGCACCATATGTTGGAAGTTTTTCAGGTGTGCACCTTTCACACATGCATAAGTGTCCAAACACTCTTTGCTCTTATCTTGTTGTGCTAACACTGAGGAAACATGATCCACAGTATTTAAGCCACCTAAACTATGGGTTCACCTAAACAGAAAGAGCAGCTGCAAGGATGTGGGAGTATTCAACATTTGCTGTAAGCTACTGGAGTATAGGTTTCAAAGACTAAATTTCTCAAAAGCACCAGGAAGTCCAAGACAACCTGTCAAAAGAAGTCTTTCTTCAAAGAAAATGCTGTACCAACACCAACAAGTTCCTATCTTGAAAGGTTTAATCATTTACACCAACACAAGGTTGGTAATGAAGACCAAGCTAGGATATTTTTACCAGCTAACAACTGTAAAACCTACAACTGATGGCTTCCAGCATAGACTGCACACACAATGCAAGAGGAAACAGCATATTAAACAGCCAGTCCAATGGGAGAATGGTGTACATGCTGCCTCTGAAGAATAAAGCATGAAACTGGAAAAGAAACAAAAGCAACAGTTAACTCCCAAGTCAGTGCAAAAGTTGAGATACTTACATGAAAATGTACATAGCTAACTCAAAAGCATCATGTAAGTTGCTATACATTCTATTTAAAAAAAAAAAAAAAGCTTTCCAGTCTTGCCTGAGAAGTGCAACACTCCTGTGCCTCCGTGGTTAAGGTGATGATTGTGGCTGAACAGAAAAAGAGGTAAAAGAGGTACTATACAAAGACATCCTGAAAGCATTTAAAACAGACATGAAAATCAAATGTATATTTGGGACCTAAAAGACACCCGGGATAGCATAGGTATTTCATACAGGATTTTTAAAAAAATATTTTTAGATAATACTTATACTGTACAGGACAAGACTTTTAAACAATATATTACACTGCTAAAATGTTCATATAAATACTATACAGGCAAGCGTGCAACCAACCCGTTAGGAAGGTTTGCGAATTAGACCACGATGTATCTCTGGAAAAGCTCTCTGATTATCTCCAAGATCTCTGATTTGTGTAATCCAAGCCACTGATTCAACAATACCTATTTCAAAGTAATTGGGACAAGGCATGAGATGAAATACATTTGTCTGCTGATTCCCAGTTCCAGTTTAATACGTTGCTGTCATCTTAATCTGGCATATCAATGTTCAACTTGGGAGGTGGAATCACATATTTTCCAGGACTCTGTGTAATGACCACTCCAGTCTTTTTTCGAAACATTGGTGCAATTTTTGGTGGTTCAGGCAGTGGTGTTTCTTCTGCTTCCTCATTGTCTTCATGATGAAGATCGTAAGAAATATTTCCATATTCTCGTAAAAATGGGAAAATTTCAAGCAGGAACTGGCAAAAGTCTTTACGAATTCCAAACCACCCTGAAAAAAAGAATCATTTCACATTATTGCAGAACAGAATGAAAATTTAACTAGGCAAACTATACAATCTTGTTTAAGCTCTCCTGTTTGTTTGCATATAAACGATACTAAATTTGTTAGTATCCTTGACATTACTTGCACTTAGAAAGCAGCAAGCATTCGGTGCCTGTCATGTATTTTACTATCCAAAGACTAGGAAAGAGCTTTTCAGTCAGCAGCACTTGTAATTCAGCAGATGACAGTCCTCTATTAACCGATGCCAAAGGTCAGGGAATAGCCTGCCCACATCAGATGGACAAAAAGCAAGGCGTGAAGCGTTTGGCAGGGAGACCCCATACAATACATCTTTTTGAAAAGATTGTACTTCATGGCCAACTGGTGTGTTTCACTTAGCACTTTAAAGGTGGATTCTCATGCAAGTCTTCTGAGTCTCACTTCAGGTGAAGTCTTTTTTCAAAGTTTACATAAATACTAACTATATAGAAGATAAATTTGACATGTAGCTTTCCAAAAGACTAATTTGGTCATAAATTATCAAGGGCAGGCATTTAAAAATAAGTCACCAGTAACAATTTTCCATACTATAAAAATGTAAAAGTAAGCTAAATATATGGAGATAAATTTAGTCATAACCAAAGACAGACATTCTCAGTATACTTCACAATCGGAACAAAACTGAAGTGAGTTTATATAACAAACATCACAGCAGGTTCCTTTCAATTCTGAAAAATTCTAACAGATTTTACTGCCTGGTCAACAAGTAACACAAACTGCAATGTGGATGGGAAGAGCTACTTATCTGCACTGGTCCAGTAACATTAGACATGCTCCTTTTGGCACTGCTGGTTGTAGGGATAAATGCCTAGTAAATTTTATACTCGCCACTCAGGCAACTCAAGTTATGACAGCAGCACAGAGCTTGGCCAAAGAGAAAAGGTAATACCAGTTCAGGCCACTAGGACAAACACTCACTGAATGGTGGGTGGGCGCTGTGCTATTTTCAGAACCCAGAGCACAAAAATTCAGTCACATCCCGTGAGAATGAAAACCATGGAAATAAGGAAGGGTGAAAGGTTAACTTGCAATTAAAATCCCATTGAGATTTCAAGTTTGAGTCCAAACAGATGACATGCTTAAAAGAAGAAAAAAAGCAAGAGACACTATAAACACTGAAAATGATAGTAACAAATGCCTCTGAATTCTTTAATGACAGAATATAAACAAAAAGCCCTTTTTGAAAATACAAATTTTAATGAAATACATTTCAGTCTTGAGGTGCAAGGTGTTTCCACATTTTAAATACTTACAGTGATTTCCTCCTTTTTGTCCAAATGTTGTTGCCATTAAAGTTATCAGTGAAAGCCAGAGAGGAACAAATATGGGTATAAATGAAAAAGAATTATGCCCATCCAATCTGTGTACTAGTAAGATCTAAATGGTGAAAAAAAAAAAGATACCATGTCAGTTTAATTACAATACCCAGTTTCAAGCTTCTTAAAACATATGCTGATCTCAGATCTTTAAGTTCACCCATCTGTGATGAAATATGGCCTCCACAGTAATATGTTCTGATATGGTACATATTTTACCCAAAAAAAACTTAAAAGAAACCTAGAATTCTTGTTTCTCTTTCACACTTGCTGTTAATATTTTATTCCAAAACAAAAAGCAGCATTCTCATTTTAGTGAGTTCAGAAAGACACATGGCAACATCCATCACTCACTGATGAAAAGAACAAGATACATGAACTCATGCTTCTTCCTACCTCAAATGTCAGCAGTGGAACTACAATGGTCATCCAGCTGACAGCCATTGTTATGTGTGTCCTCCTCTGCTCAGCAATCACATCCATAGAGCGCAAGAACAGAACAGACCATACAATGTAATAGAGCACCACTAGACACAGAAAGGACATCAAGATCCACAGTGGAACACAAACAACCTGAAAGAAAAAGAAATTAACTGCTTTCCCCCCAAGCAGCGATACATTTTTATCCGCTTGATTTTTTTCAGGTGTGGATTTTTCAAACAAAGCCAGTACACATATAAAGTTTAAAAAAAGAAGAGAAATTTAAGTCTAACACCCTTTAACTAGGATAATTTCTAGCAGAAAAGCTTCACAAATCACGTGCACTATCAGCTCTTTGAGATTCCTCAGCTTTATAAATTCCATCAGGCTGAAACAATTTTTAATTAAGTCAACGTAGCTCAAGTTTCACAAGGGTTCTGTGATCTTCTGTAGGCTCAAACAGCATTTTAGATTTGTTTTAGCAACTATTTTCTACACTGGACACCTTACTTGAAACAGTCTCTAAATTAGGTCCTTTTCCTAGTTGTTTTTTTAAGTAGAAAGGACGGTCATAATCATGCCAGATTGCCAGTTTTATGGTAGTTTACAAAAACCCAGACACAGAAACAGCACTCTTGTGTTCTGAAGGCACTTGAGAACAAGAGATCTCAGCAGTTTTGACAGTGATCTCTTGAACAGTAAGTGGATTTACACGCATGGTAACACAACAAATAAGTTATTTACCAAACTGTATTTACCAACACATTCCCTAAGTCACTAATAATTTTCATGGCTAGCTTAGCATTTTCACTGGAAACTTCTGGTTAGGATTTCTCTTTCAACAACTGAACTGAGATTAATTGTAGTTGATGGCATGTCCCTCTTCCTGAAAGGATGAAATGCTCAAAGAACAGCCCCTATTTCCCATGACCACTGAGTGAAATGCCAGACCTTCAGTGAAGGATTAAGAGAGCAAAAATGTGATCATGGATCCTGATCATATATCAGCTGATCCCTGTAGGTAAATATCTTTGAAATCCAGAATTTTAAGCAAGGATAAGAAGAAAATACTTGTTACATACAAGCCATGGCCACCTGATGATCTCGTCGAGTCTGAGTGCAATAAATATGAATTGTAGAATATTGACTGAACACAAGATTTCCAGCTAGAAAAAGAAAATACATTAGTTAATTCTTAGCGTGATAAAGCTATTTCCAAGATAACCAAAGAAACTAACAAAGGACTCTTCTGACTCCTTGCTTATCACTGCAGTAGGGAACATCAATTGCATTTACATTAGATGTTACAAAGGATCCCTAAATTTGGGAAGATGTGATCCCTATAGAGTAACTGTAGAAGCAGCTGTGTCATGAGGGAAACATTGTATTTATCCCTATTATATTTATTATCCCTATTGTATTTAGCACTACCTGCCACACTTACTAGAGTGATTAGAGAAATAAAAAAAGCCAAACTAATCCAGCTGAAAAAGTAAAGCACTGGAAAACAACTATTTCCAGCAGATAAGAAATACTGCTAGAATTAACAAGTAGTAAAAAGTCCTTCAATCTAAAATTAGCAAAATTTATCCTCAAATTTAGTAGCTGCAGTAATGTAAAGATGAAAAGTTACATGAATTTAACCACCAACAACCCAGCTTAAAAATCCCAGCTCTATCTGGGGGAAAAAAGAAACACATGGAACAGCAGAAGATGACATCCAAATTCAACCATTTACTGTATAATTGAGAGATATTTTAAAGGACACTGAAGACACCTGGGTTTTGAGGCAACACAAAAAAGCAATACTTCTCACAACAAATGTTAGGCTTCTTGTGTGTCCTGTTTGCCATTATGAGAACTAACCCTAAATTATACTTTAAAAAAACCCCAAGTTTGCATTTAGCTTACACAAAGTGAAACAATGAAACATCAGACTTGGCAAGATTCTGTTTCTGAAGTTCTTGAGCAGTCTTACACAGGTGGGAATTTCAAAGATCAGAGACAGAATTACTATCTGAAAAGACTAACTGAAGCTGTTGAGTCTAAGTTAGAAACATTTTCCATTTAAAAAAAAACATGTACAGAAGTACTTTGAAATGTACTGCATCTGGGAAGGCAGACACTACATGCTACTTTCATGAACATATGTGTCAGTGTACTCTATCTTGGACAAATGCCTTTGAAATTCACAGTTCAGGGAGTCAAAACCCAACAGGCAGCAGGCAGCTGCCTACTTCAGAGACTGGACTGAAGTCTTCACTGTTGAGGTAGTTTACTTTAAAAAGACTGGACAACTAGATTTAAAATAATTTTGTACCACTAGCTTTTTCAAAAAAATACACCTCCAAAAGACCCCACACTCAAGCATAAAACAAGTAACCTGAAAACTGCAAGTGCAAATACAGAGAAAAAAATATCAGAGAATCAATTGCTGGAAATAATTTTTAGAATAAAATAATCATTTGAGCTAAGTATGGCAAGTGCAAGTATATCTGGAGTGGCTAGGCTCACAATTAAATTAATTCAATATGCTTTAAATAAACGGTGGTTTATTGACTGTAAAAATAGTTTAATGGATAAAAGAAAGCTTTTTCTGAGCCCAGCATGACATGGAGACAAAACCCTACTATGTACTTACTGATCACCTAATCAGTTCAAAGCAGGAACAAGCAGACAATGCATTTTCAGATTAATTATTAAAATAACAACAGATTAAAAACTCCTTTGATTACTCATGCCAAAAAACAATATCCTGGATTAAAGAAAGACCCATTTTGTTTCTAGCAAATGAAAAGGAAGTAGAGCAGCACTAAAGGAAGATGACAAAATAGTAAAAAAATGAGTTGACAGTTCAGTTGCATAACTTATTTTCTTTGAGACAGCTGTTGCCTTTTAGGGATAAGTGGATTCCATTTTTTTCTGCTAGTACTTAGCAGCTGTGCAGTCATCTGTAAATGAATGGGTAATCAAGCATCACCCAGGAGAAGGTAAGTACTTCTACACAAATTTTACTTTTAGGAATGGTTAACTGTGAATATAACTCTGCGAAATTTAATTCTATGTGCAATATTTTTAATTCAAGAATTTATTTTATCAGTCTACTAGTCATCCTATCAGTTACCAAAAACATCTTTCTCTAGGGAGAAACATGGTTTGTGCCAATGTTAAGAAAAATAATTCCTTGAAATTAATAAACCTGAACCTCATATAAACCCCAGAATTTTCATTGTCATGGGGTAGTTTGTGGACATAGCAAAAAAAAACAAACACCCTTAGAAAAATCAGTAAGAATTCTCAATGCATTGCAAAACGCCACAACCCTGGGAAGATCTTGTGAATTTCTTCTAAACACAAAAGTAGTAAGTTACAGAGGAAAGAAGATTGAGGCAGAAAACAAAAGCCTACTGTTTTATGCCCACCATCTGCATTTCCAAATTAAAGATGAAGCACACAGATTGGGATAGTAAAAACATTGTAACCCTGATTATCTAGGGTTCTGAAAGTTCAATTCTGTCTAGAGATGGCACTGACTATCAGTGGAATTTTCTTCAGTAATTTCCAATTAAGTGTTGAGTATCAGCCCATACTGCAGAGTTCATGGTGAGTTCTTTTAACATAAATAAAAAGGCAGTTTTAAAATATGCTGCAATTTGGGACCTGAAAAAAAATAGATTAGAAAAAAATTACATTATTCATCATCCAGACTTTTTACTCCAGCAGGTCAGTGCAAACAATTAATTCACCTGATGCAGCCATCCATAACTTGCTTACTGAGAGATGAACTGTAATGGAACTGCCAGAGCTTTGCACTGCCAGGAATTTCACACCTAACCACTGAAGCCTTACCTCCAGAGACCTGTCATGTCGGAACCCCCACACACAAGCTGCGACTGACACTGGAGATACAAAGAACAATGGCATGAAGACCAGCAGCCAGAAATGGGTTCCTCTCTCGATCCTGTCACACACCAGAACTTCAAACATCAGCAGCAGCAAGTGGATGCCTACAGCAATTAACATAGCCTTGAACTCCACACAGGTTTCTCCTTCTGCTCTGAAAAGAGGATAAGGAGGCATTCAGTTCACTCCTCAGTAAGAAAGCATAGTATCCTGCAAACATCCCAGCTGTCAAGTTTCAGTTGTTAACAGTTAAGTTTCAGATATTTACACCTGTTTTTAGTAAATGTACACATTACACCAAACTAGCCACTACAAAACAGTACTCCTGATGATGGAACAGGATTTCTTGCCCATAAAGCTACACATTGAAAGTATTTACTCAAAGGGGGCAGTGGGATTTTTGCAGGAAGGGAAAAAATAAATAAATTTAAAAAACAGCCCAATATTCTTCAGGCTGACCTATACATTTCAGGAAACTGATTTAGAAAATAATCCAATTAAATATAAAAATATGATAAACTGTTGCAACTAGGATTAAGACCTGCATAAAGCTTTTTGCATATACTATATGTTATGATCATTATTTTAAGTATGTTGAAAATAAACCTCCTGGATGCCGTGACTGACATTGTTAAGGGAACTATTTATTAATTTGATTCAGTACAGGAATCACTTTGTTCCCTCTGCTTTGCAAAAGAAAGATCCTCAACTTACCGATACTGTGGGTTTCGGGCCCATACTCCTGTTCCCACTGAAGCACCAACAATCACCATTAACTTCCAGAGCCATATGGGAGCAAACACAGCCCAGTAACTCCATTGAATTTTGTCATCCAGACGTAGAGAGAGCAACACAGAAAAAAGCAGCAGGCAGGCATAAATCAGAAATTTGCTATTAAACAAATGAAAAACAGAGTCAGAAATTAAGGCAGGCAACTTCATATGAACTTTGTGGAGTAAAAAAAAAAGTCTGTCATAGCTAAAGTTTAATCAGAATACTTCCTAACAGAACATGCCTGTCAAACTTCTTTGTAAAGAAGAAAATCAGTTCTGAAGAGTCAAGTATTTAATCATAAATGCAGCATGTGTCATCTCTTTCACTTACAAGACCCTTGCTTCAAGGGAACACATCAAAAGCATTCTTGCATTACCAGCTTAATGAATGGACAGTTCCCTCCCACAAGGATCTAGTCAGGAGCTGTGTTATTAAAGCCTCCGAAATATACCAGTTGTACATGTTTTTAGGAAATGTTTTCTTTCATACAAATCAAACAAGATACTTTTTGACATTCACAATTAAGATACATAATTTATGTAATCTTATCCGCAGTATTTTAAACTAAATATTAAAAACTTTTCCATAAAGTAATAAGGCAGATTCCACAGATTTTTTTTTACAATTTTTACATTCTGTTATTAAAAAAATAATAACATGAAAGAAACCCCCCCAAAAACAGGTTAAACTTTTTAAAAAGTTACTGATTATAGAGTAAAGTCTGCCAATTGGAATTCTGAGGATGGTGCTTACAAGTTTAAAACAGTTATATTGATATATTTTATAAACTAGACAACCTGAGAATGAATAGATGTATCTGGAATACCTGAGAGCAGGGGCACAGCAATTATTTGCACCACTGAAAATGAGACAGAACAATTACACAGTACCTTATTTCCTCACACTACAGAAAGGGAAAAGTCACCCTCCCCATCACCAGGGGATCACAGACTGCTTTACAAAACACATAATTAGGCTTGAACACCACTCCACTGGAGTAATTATATGCTTTTTGAAACATGGATAACCTACGGAACAGAGTAAATACTTACAGAATCACAGAATAAAGCAACAATAGCCAGGAATACTATTTTTGCTACAGCAGCACAACTCAAACTACTCACTTTCACTCTCATCAAATAATCAAACATTCAAATGATCAGCATTGGCTCATTCACAGACCAAATTGCTTTGTGTCAATTCAGAACAAGTGTCTCAGCTACCCCTTAATAAGAAAGCAGTTTTACTGTGTCAGCACCTCCCCAGATGATGGGTGAACTACCTAAGGATAGGAAGATATAACAAACACTCGCTCTTCACATCAACAAATAGATCCCTCAGCTTCCCAGGCTATTCCTACTTTTCCAGTACTCTGTTTAAAGTGCATTTTCCCTGGCTCTTTATTAAATACAGAAGTAAATGCTGTGTGGCAAAATACCTGTGCTCCCTGAGTGTTCCAGTAACTTAATATTGGATGTTCTGATGTTTATCTGCACAAGTGCAATATTCAGCTTGCTCACTGGTCATTCAGACAGCACCCAAATAAGCTGCAAGCACTTCTTAGCAGTAACAAAACTTTCTAAGCTTCTGGAACGTCTGTTCTTACTTTTCCATTACTGCCAACCACACATATTTAAGTTGTTTATTTCAACCTCTGCAACAATGCATTTCCTGAAGCACTGGTTACGCTCTTGTTTGTCTAAGCAACTCACCCAACATGGCTTTTTGTAACTGCAATCACATAAGGCCTCTTTCACAAGCAAGAGTTTTCCAGGGCTCTCAGTATTTCATGCCACCCTACACAAGTTAATTGCAGGCTTTATTCTGTGATCTTAAAATACCTGGCAACAGCAACACCAGTAAAATTCAACTCATTCTCTCAGCTTCCTTAAAAGTTATGTGTATCTCTACTTGCCTGGCAAGACAGCAGAAGCCCAAGTTGTAGTGACTTGTTAATTTTAAGAGCCCAGCATAAAGAATGTCCACGAGCCAATTCTCTGTCTAGACCAGGATAGTTAGGTGATGCCTTCACACCTTCAGAAACGAGCCTTTCCCATCACCAAACGCCTGGGCTGGAGCACAAGGCAACGCGGCTCCCCGCTCTAACCCCTGACACCCCCCTCATTACACTGAAACCTTCAGAAACCAGACTGAGCCCTAGAACAATGTGAGAAAGTTACACAAACAAAAGCAGGTGACTGGAAGCTGCCCCGGGAGCTGGTGCCGGGTGCCCGCGCCCGCAGCCCCGGCCGGGATGCAGGGAGACGGGTCAGGAAAGACCCCCGGGCCGCCTGTACCCGAGCGCTCCCCGCGCCGTGCAGAACCGTCCCCCGGAGCTGAGCCCCCTGAGACGGGCCGCACTCCAACACGAAGCCGGGCCGGGCGGTGCTTC